ACGCGTTCAGGGCGACCTCCCTCCACAGCGTCCGGACGCGCTGTGGAGGATAAGTCGCAAAAAGGGCACCCGCCGCTTTTAGGGCGCTCTTTTTGCGACTTATGAAAGGAGTGCCTTTTTGGCGCTCCTTTCAGGGCCGCTGGGGAGGCGCCGCGGTGGGGCTGCCATAGCCCCGCGGCGCTCCGGACCGGGGCGTCTCCGACGCCCCGGTCTGCATCCCCCTTTAGACAGCTATATCTTTAAATTCATAAAATTCCTAACATTTTATGTCATAGAATCTATGGCAGGGGTGAGATTGGAGGGAGGGGGTGTGATGACTATGAGAGCCACTTGAAAATATCCAGGTAGTATGATAGGTTCATCATAGACTCGCCATATGTGAAAAATGACTAGGAGACACACAACAAAGTGTTTCAAACTAGACAAAAGATGCAGGACAGTTCTTTGTAAATGACTCACACTCGGTGACATTTGAAGGCTGGCAATGAAAAACATTGAAGACATATCAACCTTTGATTACAGGTGTTCGCCCTGTGACTGTCCATTCACACAAGCAATTGTCATCAAGTGGGAAACAAGTATGTGTGAACCAGACTGTACAGATCATTTGGAAGGGGGAAAGAAGGAAGGAAGGCTATCAGATCAAAAGCTGGACTGAATGAACATAGGCTTTATATACGGTAATGCACAGACAGAAAATACAAAACAATGTGGATTTGCTAGCTGATAGATTAACCTTTGGATCTAAACTGGTCTGACATTTAAAGGGGAGGGAGAGAGGAAGAAAAAATTGGCTGTATTTTGGTCAAACTGGAGCAGCGAATGTAATAAACAAAAGAATAATATAGGTCCATTTTCTCTGCAACAACTCGAGACTCTAGCTGACTGTCAATCTATCCCCTTCAGAAAGACCAATTTATTTTTTTAATGCACTTCAGCTATCGCTCCAACCTGCCAAACCAGATGTATACTCTCCACACTGCAGTCCATAAAAATAAAAGGTCAACTATTAATTGCCTTCAGATTAGCTTTTGTGACTTCCAGATAGACCTTTTCACAGCCATCACATTTAATTTTTTTTATATTCCAAAAACTCTCTATCCAGAAAACATAACTCTCTGCTTTTTTCCCCTTCTCCCCTGTCATTGATTTCCATCAAAGAGATCATTAAAGCAAAATGAGCATGAAGATGCAAATGGGAGAAATGATGGCAAGGAAAGTCATAAACATTATAATGATAACATATATATATATATATATATATATATATATATATATATATATGTCCATAAACCTCTCCAAACCCTGAAGATATCTGAAGTGTATCTTTTCATTTTTATACTTCGAGCTTCCCAATGTATAACAGCCAAAGGAAATGAATTTAATTACACTGCTAACCTTACCTAACCCCAATCAAGACATAGGTAGTAATGAAAGCAATTATGTTCATCCAAAGGAAGAAGCACTGGAATGTTTTGATTTTAATAGAAGAGGATAAAAAAAAACATGGGTTGCAGTGCACCTCTCACAGTAGGGCTGGTGAGCAAAGTTGTTTTTCAAAGGGCAAATATAGATGTGACATTTCTGGAGCAGAATGGTCAATTTAGGAGGAACCTCACTGCAGACAGGCCAAAAATAGCTTTCTTTTTCAGTGTAAAAGAAGGATTTCAGTGGGCCCGAGTGTTTCCTGAAAACATTCCAATTTCTTGTACTTTCTCCTGGCTGTTCACTCATCTTTCTGACAGTGGCTCCCGTGCCTTTCGCAGGTGCTACTTTCACATCTTACCTGCCGTGAAATTAGAAGCAGGCTGAGATACAGTGATGGGATATGCAGTATCAATATATAACAATCAATATAAGTTAATGGGTATTGTAGATGGTATGATAACAAAATAGTGGAGGCAGGCATGGACCAAAACACCTAAAGTCATTTAGCTGGGAAGAAACTTGAGGAACGAACAAAGATGGGGCTGTATTAGAAAGGAGAGTTGTTTAGAGTGTGTAATGAATGAAATAGCAGTTTACCCATATTTTGAAATTATGTGTGTTTTAATTAGGCATTGTTAACACTTGTTATTTAGTTCTGACAATGAATATCTCCAGTGTGGAGCTATAGTTACTGAAGAAAGGTTTGCTGAGTTTTAACTAGTGAAACCTAAACTAGTGAAACCTAAATTACAATCACTTGTAGAATGGACCACTTTGTCTTCTTGCAGCTGATGCCCAGCAGTGTAGTTTTGGGGAGAAGTTACAATAGTATCACAATGTAGCAGACAATGTAGACCCCATGAGTACAGAACAGGTCCCTAGATTTATTCATCTTCAACTATTCAGTATTCACAATGTACTAATGTACTAATGAAGTAGCTGATGTAGGACACTGGCCCCCCAAAATAAAAATAAGAATAACCCACATTTATATCCCACCTTTCTTCCCAGGCAGTTGATGCCTGCTGAAGTAGGTTGGAGAGAGGGAGTTACTATCATGACAGTAGTGTCACAATTGTGACTTTGGCCTTTACCGCATGAGAAAATAAAGTTGAAACTGATCAGGAGAGTAGTCGCTTTTTCAGTGCCTCTCCACCTGACATCATAGCACTTATGTTCTCTTCCCAAGGGGAGACGGTTGTAAAGCATGCCTTTTGCTGAACAGGAAAAATCCATTCAGCAAAAGGCATGCTTTGATGACCATCTCTCTTCAGGAAGAGAATGGAAGTGATAAGAGGCATAAAGAGCAGCATGGAGAAAGCCACTACTCTTCTGATCGGTTTCACCTTTCTTTTCTCATACGGTGAAGTCCGAAGTAGCAATCATTAATATGGAGTAGTATCTAGATTTACTTATCCATAACTACTCCATCCATAGTATGGAGTAGTATCTAGATTTACTTATCCATAATTGTTCTTTATTTGTAACTACTACTTAGTCACAATTATGACACTATTGCCATTATTGCCTCTCCCTAGTATCAAATATCTGGTGGGGAGCCTTAGCAGGGGGCCCCAAAACAGTCCAATGAGAACCAGGTTGGTATATGGTCATGAAATGATGACAAACTGGTGAGGAGAAGAGGGAAAACTAGGCAAGAGAGAAAATGGAACAGAGTGCTCTTAACCAGTGCTTCTCAAACTCTGTTCCTCATGAAGTTTTGGACTTCAACTTCCAGAACCCCCAGCCAGTATGGCCAGTAGCAAGAATTCTGGGAGTTGAAGTCCCAAATATTTGGATGACAAAAGTTTGGGAACTAATATTCTAAACATAATCATCCTGCATTACAACATTTGTGTTGCAAGTAACACTAGTAGATTCCATAATCCTACCTCAAGAATCCTTTCTTTTTCAGTGAGAAAGAGAGAGAGAGTAACAGTAACACAAGCTTGATTCCAAAACAAATGGTGCTGCCCAAATTCTGAGTTCCTTGGAACCTCCTTTAATATCTTTGGGAGGACTACAAAAATTCTATCCCTCCTGTTTCCAGACTCCCCACTTCTTAAGTATTTGCAGCTCAATAGAGTTATTGCTTCGGTTAACTCAACCAGTTTGCTGATGTATGAACCAAAGACCACGTTGCCCAAAAAGAACTGGAAAACACTCCTTCTCTATCTCCTTCTTCCTTCCAAAATACACACATTACGGTATGTAGGAGTCACACTCACAGTGCCTGGGCTTATTCCATGCCTTAGTGGCCAAGCAACTTTTTTAAAAAATAATGAAACAAAATTCTACTGTGCATTTTCTTCTATTGTGGCTGAAATGAATTTAGGGAGAAACAGTTGGATTTTAAAACTAAACTATCCTAGGTTTAGTTCACTTGCACACAAAAATATAGAGTTTTCCAACCCACCCAAAAGAATATGAATGCTGATCCAGCACAGTAGGAGTGCACTAGAAGCCAATTGAAAAGAGAAGGGATAATATGAAAAAGAGATGGTACTCCCTGGGATACTCTTCAATCCAGTCTAGAGATGAAATTCTTCACTAATTTTGCTCTCAAAAAAATCCATGAGTAATTTTAGTAAAAAAAATTCTAACTGCGAGAAAGTCTTCAAAAACTGCAGTTTTCAAAGTCACAGTTTAGGACTTACTCCACACGAAATCTGCATGTTTCTTTGCGGGGGAGGGAATAGCATTTTCTGGACAGGAAAAAATTGCCTGCACAGAAAACAATATTTATGCATTCTATGCAGAAAAGCCATTTCCTGCGTAGAAAATTCTGCAGTTGTGGACTTACTCTGTACAAAATTCACTTTCCCCCCCCCCCCCCATGGAATAAGAAGATAGGGTTGCCTTAGCATCCCCATAAGTTGGAAATTACTTGATGGCACACAACAAAAACAAAAAGGAAACAGCATTTTTTGCACAGACAGCATTTCTGCATTGAAATACTATTTTTGCATAGAAAATGATATGTAATGTCCAGAAAATGTTGTTTTACACTCATACACACAAAAACTATCTGAAAATTTGGCACAGGATAAGTCCTAAACTGCAAAAATTCTCACCAGTTTAGGATTCTCCTTGTCAGGTTTTCATGACACCCAAGAAACATATTTCCAATCATTTTCTAGGTTGTTGTTTTTGTTTTGTTTTTGTTTTTCAAGTATTCCTTCCACCTCTATTCCAGTCTGACCTCTGAAGTCCTTCCCCATTCATTTTAGTTTATAGTCCAGGGTTGGAGCACATCTCTAGCATGCCTATATTTCTGACCCTTGGGTTCTATCACTTACCTTGCCCTTTTACTATTAAGATTCCTCCCTGGATCAGGTACTCAGGACCAAAAATTATTCTATAACAAGTAAGTTAGACACCTAGTGTTAGACTGGCATCACACACACAACACAACATGGTTTACATTTGTTACATTAATGGTTTATGTTGCTAACTGGTTTTAATTTTATGATGGTTTAATCACCTTTTTACTTTTGCATGCTATGAATTTTTAACTATAGTTGTTTTAGTTGTAAGCTGCCTTAAGTCCCAAACTGGGAAAAAGGTGGAAGAGCTAGTGTGGGATAGTGGTTTGAGTGTTGGACTGCAACTCTGGAGACCAGGGTTCAATTCCTGGCTCAGCTATCAGAACCCACTGGGTGACCCTGGGCACAAGTCACATGCTCTCAGCCTCAGGGTAAGGCAATGGCAAACCTTCTCTGAACAAATCCTGCCAAGAAGAACCCATGATAGGGTTGCCATAATTCAGAAATGACTTGAAGGCACACAGCAACAACAAAATTCATATTAATAATAATTATAACAACAATATCTGGGGTGTGCTGTATTTTTTAACATTGTCTTAACTGGGTTTTTGTAAAAAAAATTTATAAAATTTTATTTAATGGTTTTATTAACTTTATCATATGCCTTATTTTAACTATATTCCATATTAACTTATATTGTTAGCCATATTGGGTCCCAAAGTAAATAAAATACAATTAAAGAGTAAATAAAAGGCTCCCATACATACATATAACACACATGTATACACCATGCAGGATGATTGGACAGATTACAACTTCTTATATAAGAAATTATTTAAATGCTTGAGTGAAATATGCACTCATTACAATGAAGTCAATTTTCACTCGAATAAAGATGCACAAGCAACTACACACAGATACATACATACACATACACACACATCATCATCCCTCCTGGCTGATAAATTATTTCTATAATTTTGAAAGTGTGAGCCCAAAAGGGCAAGAAAGGATAGGCATATTGCTGTTTAGGCAATGTAATGCAGCAGCCTTCAAAAAAACTTCACTTGAGATCCTGCTGCATCTTTTAAAAAAACTGTCACAACTGGAAAAGGCATGGATTTTGACAAGCTAAATATTATCACTTGAATGTTGCAACAGAGAAACAACCATTAGTTTTACGTGGCAAGATTTCTGGGTTGGCAGAGGTTTGTGTGTATGCATGTGTTTAAAAATCAATATTTATAATCCATGAGGAACAATTACATCTGTGGCAGAATTAAAAAAATAAAGAGATATGAGCTGTTTTACACCTGCCTTACATGGGAAGCTATGACAACCAAGAATGCTGCCAAATGCATGTGCTTTTGAAGCTGCTGGGAAATGTGTAGTGGATGTTTGCTTTCTAAAGGA